CTTTCCCTCTCTATCTCTGTCTCGCTCCCTCTCACTCCGCCGTGTGATCGAACGCGTGCACTCGTTCCTTTTCCTCCTCTCTCGTCTTCACCACAGACTTCCCGAGCGTTGTTGCCACCTGTTTCGTGAAAATTTCGCACGACACGGCGTACACCTGTGTGAATGCGCGCGTGCACGGCATCACGTATGTACGTTGCGTACACGCGCGATTCCGAGTCGCGGAATTCGTGGAATTACGAGAACGTTTCTCGTTAGACGCGTTGGAAATGCGTCAAAATATCCGATGATTTTCCAGCGAAAGTCGAGGTTCGTTATTCAGCACGAATACGGAAGCGTCAAGTTTTCGAAGGCTCGATTACAAGCTCGACACAGCGATATCACCATATGTCGAGTTGATAATCAATCAGCGAGTTACTCGAAATAAGATTCCGAGCGATGACACTGTACGCATTATCTCGAGGCACATAAAGTAGCCTGTAGTTCCTACTTTCTTTCCAATTCCCGCACGCTATGTATTTCAATGGAATTAATATATCGCTTTGTGTCTCTCGCACGAAACTGTTACAATAAGATATTCCGCAAAAGGGACCACGATTGGCACTCTCGTATATTATCATTAATCTTCTATCTCTCTTGTACAATATCGTCAACGGAAGAGCAAGTACCTGTAAGATACGGGAAGTGTTATGTTCACGTATAATGTGATACGATGGCGCTTTATTAATGCATCTGCAAGTTAATTAACCGTTGGACGAGAGGGAGAATAAGAAATCGGTATTCTACGAATGCTAGAGGATTGATACGCTTCGTTAAAGTTTAAAGTACATGTATTGGTAGCTTATTATATATATATATATATCATATATCACGAACTTTCAATAAAAGATTCGTTCAACGAACGCGGATAAAAGGGGGTAATGTTTCCAAGAAAAAATTAGTATCGCATTTCATTGAGACACGAGATAAAGCACACTTTTTTAATATCGTGATAAGCATCTGTATATCTTCTCGCTCATTCTCGAGCGGAGAATCAATCCTTAGCTAAAATTAAACAATTAGCTAATAGGATATTCTTCATACGCGTGCCATTTATTTTCACGCACTGTCGCGCAGAATCGAATCCTCAAGCGCGATTTAGCGCTTGGAGGACGTATCGCGCGCGAAAGTAGGGATCGATGAAATTCAATGAGATACAAAGAGTCAAGTCGCGCACGCGAAATGAACGCTTTGGACGATGTCGAAATGATCGCGGTGCCGGAATAAAATCTTTCACGGAGAAATTTCTCCGGAACACAACCGGCGCGAGATTCGTCAGGTGGCTGTTAATGACCGCGACACATCACTATTAACCGTTGTAGGTCACGCATTTTTTTGCTCCGTTCCTGGTCACATATGGATCGCAATATCTCATCGCAGTTTTATCTGTTTCAAAGTGCTTGAAAAAATCTACAAAAATGTATATATATACCTTGACATCTGTAGAAAATGATCATGTACAACAAAAGTTAAAAAATAAATTTTAAACATTTTTTTTTTATTCATTATGGTCTGCGGGATATTTTATTATTAAAATATTGATAGGATCAAAATAATCCATATGCGACCTTTAAGAATTAATAATCGGAGGAAGGCTCTTTAATAAAACGCTTTATTTTGAATAGACTGAATGAATCGTGTCAGGGTCAACCGATTTCTCATTAAGCTATCCAACGTCACTTCCCGGTGACGTTTCGCAATGTTAAAGATATCGACAATGTCGCGATGCCGGTCATCCATAGATCACGCTTTTATTTGACAGGAAGAAGAAAACTCGTGTGTGTATGTGTGCGTGCGTATGTGTATATATGTGCGAGAGAAACGAAGAGAAAGGGACGCGGACACGAAATAAAGACACATGGGGCGGTATATAGGGTGGCGAACGAAAAAAGGGGGTCAACGTTATTCAGGATGAGTCACGGCGGCGCCCCGATTCATTTTCCTCGCGTCCAATGACACGAGGCTGCCCGTGCAAAACATATACGCATCCGCCGGGCTGATTGATTGATGCATCTCGGATACGTGATCGAGACACGCTTTGATGGTCTCTACGGCATTTATTCCGTGTTTCGCGAATAATTTAGAAACGGGTAGCATTCGTTTTCGCACGTCGAAATTTTTTAATCCGTGAATTAAACGTAGATTCGCACCGAGAGCTGCGCTCGATGCTGAAACATGCAACTTTCTATTAAAATCGTCGTTATGAACAGTTGAGTGCTTATAGCGAAACCGCTAAGTATTTACGCGATATTCTGGACAAACGTATGAGAGAGAGAGAGAACGGTTTATCCGAAATTACGTATTTTATATGACAGCGGATGACAGTAATTGCGAAATAGGCCGTTAATAGCAGTTAATTCGCTAAAGCGCGACTTCTAGAAATGCCATAGAAACGGTGCGAAACATCTCCAATCCTAATCTTGAAATTCAATAGAAATATATATGAGCTGAGCGCTATTATCTCAAGGTGAAAAAAATGAGTCAACGGAGATATGATAATAGTTCGCCCATTAGATCGATTAAATGCACAAGAAAAGATCTGGCGTAAGTCGATGAAACGATCGACCGGAATATCATCTCTAAATATATTTAACGATGTTTATTATGTATAATTTAAATTACTTTGAAGGCGGAAAATATATGCATTTTAAAAAAATTCCCCAAAATAGAATAGATTGTGTAAATTCACGACGCTCGTGCTCTAATACTCGAGCGGTAAAGTTACTCGTATTTTCGGATACTTTGTCGTACATTATTTCGTGTATTTTACAAGTTCTCTACCTCTCTTTCTCTCTCTCTACGAATAGACAGAGTAAACAATATCGTTCGCTTAAGTCGGATGCAGTTTCACGAATTGACTGATGTCACTTAACGAGGTCTTTTAATATTGCTAAATGATATCTCGACGGTATAAAATATTTATCTTACGATATAATTATTCCAGTATTTTGCATCTCGACAAAATCTTATATATACAACATCAAAGACAGAAATATATAAACATTCATAAATATGCAAACATCTACATTACATCAACATTTTATATTTGTAATATTTAATATTGTATATTTAGTATATATATTAAAATTTTACGTTTTAGTTGCAAGCTCTCTTTGAATATCTTGGCGTATATAACGCATTTGCCGCAAAAATATTATTTAAAAGTGCGCACTGCGATGCGAGACGCGCTTCTATGTAATTACCCGAGTAGCAGATTGCCTGAATTACATTATTTTTTATATTTTAAACAAGTGATAAGCTCTCGCGGGACGGCGAGAGCTATGGAAGCTTTATACATCGTGTGTCAACTTTTCTCATTTTCATTTTTAACAGAAAAAAAAACTTTTCTCGTTCGATTGCAATTACTTGCATTTCAAGAGAAACTTATTTTCATGATTATTTTTTTCCAAAAATGAGAAAAAAAATAAGATTATTGCCTGTTTCATGTTTTCCTCAGATGCGAAATTCATTATCAGTTAAGGCTCCCGCACAATCGAAAATATAAGGAACAGGGAACAAATATTAGAGATAAGGACTGACTTGACTTTTGTTAAAGTAACTTTCTTTTCAATTTTCCAGATTATGTGTACATAGCTTGTAAGTTACTTTAAAGTAACGTTACTTTACTTTAAAGTACTGTAAAGTTACTTCAACAAAAGTCAAGTCAGTCCTTATCTCTAATATTTGTTCTCTGTTCCTTATATTTTTGATTGTGCGGGGGCCCTTAGAATTCAGTGTAATATTTTTGTTTTGCGATATATCTCGAAATGATCATCTTGTGGTTCGTGGAACGAAAGAAACGACAAGTATGTCTCCTCGCCGAATTGTATAAAGTTTCCTTTTCCTTTTACTTGTGCGAGAGCTACGGCGTAACATTGTGTTCTAGTTAAGTATGATATCGATAGAAAAGGTTAATCGATTTATTTGTCACGCTGCATACGTAAGCGCGACATATTTTCAAAGTACCGAGTGATTTAATAGTAACAAACACATCCGTACGGCGGTAAAAATACATCGGTTATATCCGTCGTGTGTGTGGATTCACGTATGTTTAAAAACATGTATACATTATTGAGTATACATGAGTCGACACTAATAACGCGCGATATAAATGCGAAGACGGAACTTCTTCGCGATGTTTTTCCTCTTTCAAACGTGATTACTTTTCCAATTTCGCGGAAAAAATCCGGCTTAATCGAGAATTGAATTAATAATGGAGAGCGATATTTGTTGTATCATCAAAGCGTTTCTTTTCTCCCTCGTGTTATCGTAAATATATTTTCCATAAGATAAGACCCCTTATCTGCATCGATAAGACAGGAATACTACATCCATGTTTGAACTTTGCACGATCAATGATCTGTAAAGTAAATGATTTGCAATCGCAATTTATCTTTGTTTTAAATATATTTTGTCGGATAAATTATTTCGCTTCATGTGTGCCGGGGCTTCGTGTTGCTTTCTTTACGTAAACTACTACTTATATAATCTCTCTCTCTCTCTCTCTCTCTCTCTTCTGTCTAGCTGATTTTTAATACAGATTGAAATGTTGACAATCGCATTTTTCGGATCGGATTCCGTCGTAATCGGATTTGAAGCGTTGGATTTTCTCGAAACGAGCAATTTTTTAGCCGATCCGCCGCTTTGTTGAAAACGTGCGGGCCATCGATACGATGAATACGATTCAGAGCTTACACAGTCACCGTGATTGTGACCTATATCGGTTGTAAAGCGTTAGATCCATCTTGAAATACCATGCTACAATATTGTGTTGTACAAAAATTTTCTAATAATTCGTAACGCTCTTATATACGCTTCATCGCACCTAACGTCGGCGATGTCGACGTCACTATTTCCGTTACGTGTAAAGGTCGATGAGAAAAGTTTTAATCGCAAACGATTAAATCGACTGAATTCTTTACCCTATATGTCGCTCGACGTCATATATCGGTAATATACCGACCTATCCAGGGGGAATAATACGGTAGCTCCCGTCGTCGCGCCCTTTAATTGTGACGTGAATCCGACCCCCTTTCATTATGACGTAAATGCGATCACAAGCTCAATGTTTAGATGTGGGCGCTCGTTATCATTTATTTATAAATATCGCAAACGTGAACTTTTATCTCTCGCACGCGAGAACGTGGGTGGAACGTCACCTATCTTTTTACGTGGCGGAGTAAAAAATATGATCCATAATCTCGCGAGTCTTGCATCTTTAATCCTTTCTTAAACGCTAAATTAAATACTCTTTGTCAAATGTGTCAAAATATTTTCTAACTTGATGACGTTCTTTTTCTGTCGTTACAGAGGGACGATACAAGTCTGCTGGCTCAATTCTTTTACGCTGACGAATCCCTAAACGCGGTCGCCTGCGAGCTGGACTCCTTCGATGGCCGACAAGAGCCGGAGAGATGCACGACGTTGGTGAATCAATTGCGACAATGTCAAGACAAGGTGCTGACCATCTGTAATCAGATTATGGATGATCTGATACCCGAAAGCCGTGCCAATCGGGACTTCAGAGTGAAGTTTCCCGATGACGTGATGCAGGAGAATCTGGCTGGACAGCTCTGGTTCGGCGCGGAGTGCTTGGCGGCTGGCTCGTCGATTATGAACCGGGAGGCCGAGAGCTCAGCCATGAGGCCATTGGCGAAAGCTCTCACCAAATCATTGGAGATTGTCAGGAACTTGCTGAGAGAGCATGCGCTCAAAGGCCACATGAACTTGAAGGTATTTGGATTCACGAGTAAAATTGTATTCATTCTAGATGTAAGTTGTCGTCATTGCTATTCTGGTATTTAAGACGGGATAAAAAAACAATGGAATTTTTTGTGTGGACAGAATATAATTATTAATATTTAGTCAGATGATTTCATGAAAAATTAATAACATCTCTTTCTTTTCCAGACGCAAAATCCTCTCGAACCATCCTTGGAGAAGCTCATCGAGTCGTTGAAGATCTTTGATCGGCTCTTTGCAGACTTTGAGCTGTGTTACGTCGGCGCGATGGTACCGGTAAAGTCGACGAAGGAATACGAGCAACAGGAACTCGTATGTGTACTGTTTTCGGAGACTTTGCAGAGAGCGCTTGAGCGCGGGTTGTTGGACCAAGCGGATGTAGACAATTATGAGCCGGCTTTAATGTTTACTATTCCGCGATTGGCTATTGTCTCGGGACTCTTGGCGCCACCCGGAGGACCGTTATGCCTCAATTCGTCCGATACTATAAGCGAGATGTTTAGACCGTTCAGGGTAAGAGACTTGAAAATTATTACTACGATTAATTATTACTACTTGTGATCTGATGATTAAGAGTTATATTTATCTTCAAGTTTAGATGCTATTGATTTAAATTTTCAGTCTCTTGACAAAGATTTATTTTCAGACTCTTCTTCTCAAGATAAGAGAATTATTATGGACGTTAAATAATCGCGAATTATACATGTTGGAGAAGTTATTATGCTCGAATGAGGAGCCATCCAGTTCGATCACGCAGTCAACGAAATCAGCGTGTCAGGACATACCAGACTTGGAGGAATATGTTCATAATTTTTATACTGGTTATCCAAACTGCAAAGAGTTCATCATTGACTTTTACACCGTGACAAAAAATACGGGTAATAATATGGACGAAGTAGCGAGTGATGCGGTTCAATCGTTGGATGAAAGCGGTCCGAGAATCGACCAGTCGCCGAGCAGGAAGTGCGAACAGGATAGAGAGGAACGTAGAGAACAGGAGAACGGCGAGGAAACTCGGCGCGAAGACTTAAACATATCGTCGGATGGGTGTGATAATAAGGTAATGTGTAATAGCGGCGAAAAGACGCGGCAAATTAATGGGGAAAGTGTCGGTGAACGAGTGCAATGCGGACGCGAGCTCTCTGACGTGTTGCGTGACAATGAACGGTTTCCTCGTGACTGTGATTCGGTTTCTAATGGCGAAAATAATACCAGCGAGAGTTGCGATTCGATGGCGCGAAGTGACATTGTGAGATTGGACGTAGCCGGAAGCAGCACTTCCACGAATATTATCGAGAACACGCGAAATGGGGGAAACTTTATTACTCCCGACGTAACTCACATGCTCGAGGGATGCTCCGACAACATAGAGATACCGCAGACGCAGTATATGCTTAATCAAGTCACTCGCGAAAGTACCGTGGACGGCGAGGCCGCGCACATACCTGACAACTCTTTACCCGATCTAGATTCTAAGAGACTCATCTCGGAGGCGAATAAAACTCTCTCGAATCTTCTGCTGGATTCGAGCGAATGCCAGAACGAGATTTCGGAACAAACGGATTCCGGCATATGTACGGTAATATCATCCGAGAACACTAGCTTGTATGACAAGAGCCCGGAGGAGAAGAAGACCTTCGCCAACGAGATCCAGAGAGAGGGATGCGGTGCCTCGGACGAAGAAGACACGCAAGAGAACACTAGTTATTCTTGCTCCAATATGAACTCGCCGAAAAGAAAGAATCCCGAGAATTCATGCGTTTGCAATACGAGAAGCGCTAACAAGGCAACATTGGATCATTCGATCGAGGTATCCGGTTTGCACTCGAATGGGGAACCCGATGGAAAAAACATTCCAAGAATATCGTCGAATTTCGACGGCACTAACGAGGAATTCATTGGTGTAGCGTACGGTAATGGCCAATTAACCCTGTGTGATTCCAATCAGTCCACTTTCCAAATAAACTATTCCGAGAACTGGGAAAATCTCAATTTAAATATCGATGCGTCGAGCTCCAGGAAAGAGTTCTGGGGAGATCTGAAATGTGAGAATTGCCCGTCCACTTCTCGGAGTATCGATGAGATTGGTAAAAAGATCGAGAAATACGCACAGGATAAAGCAGCGACGAAGAAAACGCGAGACGAGAGGCAACGACGGCGACATCAGCACAGATTAGTGGATCGAAATACGCAAAGGACCCATCACGGTAGAAGAGACGCGGAGAAAAGACACCTGCAGATTATGCAATCGGCCACAAGCACCGAGAGCTCCAGATCGAATTCTACGGATCGAGGTTTAAATCCACGCTTGACCAATCTCGGCGTCAGCTTGCATCTCGGTCAAAGCACCAGGCAGATGCCGAACTTTGGTAGTCACAGTCCGCACATGAGCCCGAGGCTTCATCATTTCGAGTCGCGCAGCACCCCGAGCTCCGGGCAACGCTGTTGCAATCTCGGAACGCATTGCGCGAACAGAAACTCATCGCCGCAGAGCAGAAAATTATTGGATCATAGAAGATCGAAGTCCGAGCAGATCGCGAGGAGCAAGAGAAGAGACGTCGAAAAGAAAGAGAAGCACGAGCGAGACAAGTACGCGCGCACGGAGCCTATTAACAATAAGAGAAAACGAGGGAATGCAAGTTCCGGTAATCTCATGATAAATGACGGACTAGGCCCAAGGACGGACAAGAGCGGTCTGGTGACGGAGACCGTTGCAATCGCGACTACACTGCCGAACGCAGCGGTTCGTCACGCGAGGGACAATAATTCGCAGAGATCCGCGCGAGCGATGAAACAAATCAACGCGTCGACGGTATCCGGCGTGCGAAACTCCGATCAATCTCTAAATTACAAGCCAAACGTAGTAGCATCGAGTTCCAGTTGTTCGAGCTGCTGTGATTCGAGTTCGGAGACCAGCGAGTTTCATAGCGACTGCCAAGACGACGAGGAGATCGCGTTGGCGATGCAGGCCGCCGAGATCGCAAATAGAAATCAAATCAGAGCCAAGTTTCGGTAAGAAAATACATTGTTGCTTCGTTCGCGCAGTCGTTATGTATATAAATTGTTATGTATACTAACGTCATTGTGCTTTGAATCAGTCTATTGGCACGACGTCCGGCATCATATTTATTAAACATTAGGTGGCAAGAATTTAATAATTAATTTGCTTTGAATGCATTTAATAGTTGATATGGATTTCTTCTTTCACGTACATTCTTTCAATTCCCTGTTTTTCGTTATTTCTATATTATTTTATATCTTTTGCTCTGTATCTTTCCTCTTTCCTTCGATTTTTAGCAGAGTGTATGAGTATTTTCAAAAAAAGATAATCTATTACTACTATTACCAATATTTTTTTCCAGATCCTCGGAAGATCTAGTCCATCGCCTCTTCGTTTGCATAGCAGGCGTGGCGGATCAGTTGCAAACAAACTTCGCATCGGATTTGCGGAACATTTTGAAATGCGTTTTTCTCATGAACAGTAGTCAAATAATAGAGGATACCGAAGGATCGAAAGATGAAAGTTCAGTTTCCACGAATCAATCAACGATCGTATCAAGCGACACGACGGAGACGGGAAGTATTCACGAACGGCAAGAATCATTGCCCGAATACGAAGACGCGGAGGAAACCGCATTGACACACGATCGAAGTACGGATACATTTATTTCTTCACTCATGTGAAATATATATCAGTGTAAATATGTCAAATTATTCCTATTTAATTTCTGAGTAAAATTAGATTTTTTTCTCGTGTAGACAGACTCATATTTAAAAAAATTCATCAAGCTTTTCCCCCCAAAAAAATATAATACTCCCCGACACATATATTTCTCATTCGCCACACAATTACACAATTGCAGTTGACACGTTCGTTTTCTTTTGTTTCTACAGCTTCTCCCGTCACCGAGAGGGGGGAGGAGTGCGTCGAGAGAGCGCCCGCTTGGGTGCCGGACAACGACGCGCCAAGATGCATGGCTTGCCAGGCAGGATTCACGGTCGTGCGACGTAGGCACCATTGCCGAAATTGTGGTAAAGTGTTTTGCGGTCGTTGCAGCAGCAACAACGTCCCACTGCCTCGTTACGGGCACACGAAACCCGTGAGAGTATGCAACAGGTGTTTCCTGTACCAAGTGACGCCCTTTACTACGGTCTCGCAAGTCACGTCCACCAGTTGAATATTTCTGGAGTGGCTCGCAAATCCGATTATATTTTCTATTTGAAATCCCCGTGTGTGTTACATATTCCCTTTCGATGTGTGTAACGTATTCGCGCAAATTTGCAACCGTTTCTCAATCGTAATAAAGTCATTATTCTTATATAATAGGAACGATAATTCAAAAGAGTTCTCTTACAATTAGTAGAGCGGGGCAAATCAGGTGTAATTATGTGATATACTCGCACAGCGTTACGAACTTTAGTCCAATGAATTAGCTGCTGTTTCATTAGTCGAAGCAGTCGTTATTCGATTCGGAATTGTCAAACTATTCGGGTATTTGCTTCTCTTCTTCTCTCCTATCCTTCTTAAGTGATATATATAAATATACATTAAATATATATATTATATCGGAAAATCTGGTGGCATTTGATTTGCCCAATTCTCCATGTTTAATAGTTTGTAAAAAGAGAAACCGCAAAAAAACGCGTTTATCGAATAATGACGAAAAGAGAAATTGGAGGGAAATCGCTGTCACCAGATCACTTTACCGCGTTGTTTATACACTTACGTGCACTTAAGCTGTAAAATTAGATATACCAGCGCTAATCGCTCATATTTTTACACATTGTGATTAAATATTCTTCAAGAAAGTGTTACTACGATTCGTGACAACTGTAACAACGCAATTTAACTTTGGATAGATAGTAAGGTTCCCTGTAAATTGTTCAAATTTATTTAAGAAGATTATGTCTCTCTTTTTTCATGAGAGACTTAAGATAAGATTGTATAGAGAGCTAATTATCACAGACAAGAGTGTCTTTATATATTATTATTTTTATTATTCTTATAATGTGTTATTTTATTTCAGTTATAATAATTATTTTATTATCGTTATTATATTATTATTCTGATTATTTCACCATATGAATGTAGCTCTCGTAAGAATTCGTTGTACGAATGAAAAATTAAAAATGATTATTAATTTCTTAAATTATAATTTTTGTCGAATTTTATTATATATAAACTAACACTTTTTATTTCTGTTCAAAATGTGATAGAATTTGTGTTTTCTAAAACAAAATATATGAATTTTTAAGAGTTATCGATATGTTTATAATAATTGCGATGTAGATAATATCCTTTTGGTACATGCCACAAAAATCCATATAATATGTTACAATATCAAATATTATCATTCAGAGTTATTAAAACATCAACCGCACACTCATATTTAAAATAATAAACTTGAGTAAAATGTTATTAATTGCAGCAGAATTTAAAGTCAATATATAAATAAATGTCGTTACACATCACCGTTTTGAGATGGAAGATTCTTTTTGAGGTATTTAGATTTCTCGTTATATGTATTGAAACCGAAAAATTATTCCATGTTTGCGTGTTTTTTAAGAAAACTCTTGGGTTGATAGTCGATAGATTATGATTTTCCACGAAAGACAAGCTTAAGACTTTCGAAGTATCAAATCCTGTATAGTGTTTATATACTTGTGTGATGTATAAGTGTGTACATGCCTGGAGTACATATACTCGAATAACGATAATGTTAAGGAAGAGAATGTGAAAGAAATTTCTTTTCTTTTTTTTGGGCGTCTAACAGTCGGATCGCGTCGCGATAAAATTTCTAAGCATCTACTGCCCGTTGAAGTATTTCAAAGTATATATACAGATGTGTAGCGTACACGCATGCACATATGAAGACACACACACACACATATCTATACATACATACACATATACACGACTAGCTCCTCTGTGCCAAATTTATGACAATACGTTTCCTTCTTTGTACAATTCACACACGAATTTGGTTCCTATCATAAAGCTTGGACAAATATTCCCGATTATCAGTATAGAAGCATCGCGTTATATTAAAAATGTCCGGAAAATGTATAATGAGAGAGAGAAAGAGAGAGAGAGAGAGAGAGAGAGAGAGAGAGAGAAAGCAGTATTCGAGACGAACATCCGATATAATAGAATGTGTGTGTGTGTTTTGATTAATAAAAAGACTGGTTGAATGTACAGATCGTTGTTTGCTCATTATTATTTCAAGCATTCGTCGTAAACGATATAAATACTGAATAGTACAGATTTATATCGTTTCTAATTTTTACTTTCAATTATATTTTTGTTTCTATTATACAGCGAGAAAGAGTTTCTCTCAATTTCTCCAACGTCTTGTCAAATCCTCGCAAACAAATTTCAATTTGATGTTTATATCAATGTTTAAAAATCGATTAAAAAGCGAAATAATGTATAATAATGATTGACTCTATTGGAAATGATATTTAGCTTGGGAAATGTGATATTGCGCCGAATATTACAATCAGGAATATAAAGAAATGAACGTATCACAATCATATATAAACGATTATATAAATTGAGTCGATTCTCGCTGCGGTTAGCTTTATCGAAGGAATGGCGTTAATTGAAACCGATGTGTATCGATTAATATGACATTTAGATACGATTATCGATTTTCGTTACGAGGACGTAATAATGTCCCCTTAAACGACGAATAGTGAAATATCGTTCGGCGAGGTCAGATTTGGAAATCGTTGTATATTATAATCGCGTGTGCATTGTAAACTATAGATAGAACTTCCCGAAGAAAAAAAAAAATATATATATATATGGTGTCCCCATGGAGAGTGCTCGTACGAGGTGTAAAATTAGCTAGAGAGAGAGAGAGAGAGATAAATTTATTTCCTTATATATGTAAGGAACACATCGAGTAGACAGAATATACTTTTAAGATTACGAACGCGCTTAGAGACGGAGAAGTTATTTTTTACACGTAATCTCGATGCCTTGCTAGAATATCGATTGTACTTTCGATTTTGGACGCGAGGAAATGTCACTCTCTGGCTAAAAGTTCCGGAGACCGTTACTAGATATTTCAATCTTCTTATATATGTGCGAATCAGTTTGGTAACCAGGATTTTCCCTGTGCCTAATATGTCATAGGCTAGCCTGTGAAAATAAACTATATATAAAAGCAAAAAGAGAGGGGAAGAGAAAGAGGGGAAAAAAGAGAAAGCATAAAAGAAAAAAAATCGGAACGATATAAAATATAGAGTGGATCAAAGATCACGATGTCATGTGAATATAAATTCGAAATTATACAAGTTTCTCGAATGTCGATCTCTATGCGCGTGTACGAAAAGGGAATAATAATTAATATTTATATCTCTCTTTTATGGAACATGAATATATTGGAAAATAAAATATTACGGTTTATTTTTTTTTGATTGGCTACTCACATATGCAAATTGATTCGTCTATCGCAGCTGTAATATGCTCTTTCCAGCATGGTGATGTTGATTCACTCGATATATCAAAGGAGGGTTACGATCTACCAATTAAATAAGAAATTATTCCGATTATACGAGGTGTTAGAATGTGTACCTCGGAATTATTTTTGTATTATTTGCCTAAGTGTATGCGCTCGTAGAAATGTATCCTTGGCGTGTTTGACGTGGGATCGCATTTCGAGTAATCGGTAACGGCGCGTAATCCCCAAGGGAATGGAACGATGTTGAAACGTTAATTGACATTAACAATCATGTTTGACGCCGAATTAACTTGTGATCGGTATCGAAAAGCGATAGAATTTCTATATGCGTGACGTTATGTCAATGATTTTAAATTAATGAGGAACGCAACGGGACTTGCGGATAAATTGTTAGAAGAATATGTGTACGTGTGTGCGCGCGCGCGTGTGTTTTGTGCGTGAATACAAGTTATCCGCAATATTGGATCGTGAGACAATTGATGTCTCATCAATACTTGAATGCATTGTGGTTTCGGTATAATGGACGTATTAAAATACGAATGTAAATAAAGTTTGTTATTCAAGGTGTTTAAATTGCGTGATTATTTAAACTTTTTTTTTTTTTTTTTTTTTTTTAATTATGCGATCTCCCCGTAAGAATCCTTTTTTTTTACTTTATCTTTGACGTCTATATAAATAAGCGTGCCTTGAATTTTTCGAAACAATTTTAAATCTGACAATTTGTTTTATACGCACGCGTGTTGAGAAGAAATTCTTATTATATAAAATTATATTCGCGCTTATCTTGCAATTCTTGGAAAACTACGTTTTAATATGCTATAAGAGGCTTTAATATGCTATCGATTGCTTTAATGTGGTGAGAGTTGTCATAGTGACTAGTCAACACAATCTGAAATCACGGTACTAACAGAGATTTACCAGAAACATTCCTTCACCCGTTACGTTATCATCGATACGTTGATATATATAATTGTTCGAAATATTGCGATAACCAGCTGATTTAAAAAATCAACAGTCTCCTAATTAATTAAAGTGAAAATTTTGAGAATTTAATAAATCAATATTTTTTGCAATAAATGAAAATTTTATCGAATAAAAGATATAAGATTTATTTGGGTTAATTTATCGACAAGTTCTAATCTCACCGATACATCATGATGGACATGGAGATGAACGCGGAATTGGACGGTGTAAGTAAATACTTATATATGTGTTTTAAACACACACACACACACATATGTATTTTATACAGAAAAGTGGTATTTAGTCTCCTTATTATTAATTTATATTGTTTAGTTCTTTATATGACATATATATTTAAATTTTTATATTTCCATAAAATATCGCATCTCATATAGTTATCGATTACGTAGCAATCGATTATGCTTGTCAACTAGTTGCCATAAAAATTGACTTTCATTTTTCTAGACAATGCGTTATTTTGTGATAATACATGCATAATGTGTAATAAATAATTTCTAAAACGTCTCCCTAATACGACAAATAACCGTCGATAATAACAATAAAATGAAGAGGACAAGGCTGGCAAAACGCTCAACTCCGGAGCCGTGCGACGATGTTATTAAAATAGAATTAATTAACATAACTATAACCTAACCGCGCGACTTGGAACGGTAAGCATTGCGGAAAACTTTCCAAGTTCGTTTCAAAACTTTCTGCAAAATGGAACGTCCGACAGATAGAAATCGTCTCGAACTGGCGTGAAATCTTACTGCTCGAGAGCTCTCGAATTTACATTAAACGTCTTTCTTATAAGATCGCACAATTTATTATACTTTGGCTCAAAGCGAGTTGATCCTCATCTTGATTGTAATTAATATCGAGCCGTCTATACGTCAGAGTGGCGCGGATAGGTAATGATCGAGAGCACTCACGTTGAAATATCCCGTCACGGCAACGAAACGATGCTGCTTTCAGGATGACGGAAGCGAAAGCAGTCAACCGTCCTCGGAGGGAAGCTCGGCGAGCAGCACGTTTTGTACTCTGGAGAAAGATTACGCAAGGGTAAGAATATTTGTTTTTGCGGATGTCGGCATCGGGGAGAATTTTTCCGCCTCAGACACAAAGGTCCTCGAGGAAATTTCTTTGCGCGGTATTTTCGCTATTTAAACATTCATTGAATTTAACGTTACATAGCGTTTGTTGATCAGATTTTTTTCCCCCACGAAATTATCGCGATGAAAGCTTAATCGGAGTTACATCGCCCGGAAGACTCCATTCGCGATGTTAAATTCGATTTCGCGCACGAGCATATAATTATAATTGGGCAAACTGCGAATTCCCGGTAATTAGCGCATAATTAGCATTTCTAGAATTAAAGGGCGCCTTATCTGCGCAGATAACGAACGAGATGAAGGCTAACGAGGTGCTGGCGCCCTTCGAGGCCGAGTACGCGAGGCTCTACGAATCTTTGTACAAAGCGCACAGAAATGAAAAGGAGTTGTCGGAGCAGTGCCTCTCGCTCAGGGTAAATTCGAGTCGCATCTAATTTCGCAGCAACAAATCGCGAGTTTAATTTCCTTTAATTTCCTCCTTCGTCTCTTTGTTTTTGCCGAAACCTCGCGCGGTGCATTCGCGAAACTCGCTTCTCCAGAACGAGATCGGGGACATCACGTCCGAGATTTTCGAGCTGAAGAAGACGGTGGAGGAGCAAGAGGACGAGATAGACGGATTAAGACAGGAAGTCGTGAACACGACGAAGTTGGCTGACGCGGCGCACGCGCGCGAGCAAAACGCCCAGGAGGTGATCGAAAACTTGCGGCTTAACATCGAGAAACTGGGCCTGGAGATCGAGCAGAAAAACAAGCAACTGGCAGCCGAGAAGGAGTGAGTGAGTCTACTCGTACGGGAGGAAGGAGACATTCGCTTGCATCGTATTCCCTGAGATGGAAAACCGCGATGTGAAAAATAACGCAGTTTTGGTCAAAATTGCCGGACGCTTTCGCAGTAAAGCGGACTTTTATTTCCTCTTCTCTTTCTCCCTTTTTCCTCTCTTTCTTTTATTTATTTATTTTTTTTATACCAAATGGTCCGATTAATTCGGTCTGCCGGGATCGATGCATGCGCCCTGTATAAGAAAGGGAAGAGAGAGATAGAGAGAGACGTAAAAATGTACATAAATATACGCCGGCCAAATAAAATTCCAGAAGCAACCAATGCGGACGCGTTACACTGTTAGATTAAAACGGAAATTCAATTATCGGAGATGGGGAGTTTCTCTCTTGGATGAAACCGTTTTGCGGTCGGGAGAAGCCGTGATGTGTACGTCCGGAATATTCAACGCTCGGCACGTTGCAGCGCGTTGATTCTTGGTCAGCTTTAACGTCGGCTGTAAGCTTACATCGACCTTTACATTAAGCTGAGCTTTATGTACAGCTTACAAGCAGCGCCGAGATATCAACAATCGACCGCGAGTTTGCTGGCTTCGGAAGCGACAGTAAATTTCGTAACTCAGAATAAATTTGCTTCAACAGTTATTCGATATTTCAACGGTTTCTCGATACTGTTTCTCGTAAAAGGATTTTAAGTCCTTTCAATTTGCGATTTTTAAATACGAAGAAAATAAAAATCGATATTTTTCACGGCGTTTACACTACACTAAATCAAGATAAACTGCAAAAATCCCCGAAGATTAACAAATCAATCAAGCTAAGTACTCGCGAAATGTCTATTGAGTAATACAGCGATTAATACGATCTTCGAGTAATTTCGATGAGAATTTTTCAATCGCGTTCAATTTACGTTAAGTGCCCCCCCGTGAATACTTAACGTAACGGTGACAAAAAAAGGAAAAAAAAAAGGAGAGACCCCGTGTCGCGTCTTGAAAACGTGCGAGCTTGCGGTAAATTCACGCTCGCAATGAACTCGGTTGCCGTTGTTGCTGCGAGAATAATATATACGGATTGGTCTCGTTGAAAGTTTCGCGAAAATTGCAGCATCACCATTAGCAAGCAGAAGGAAAACCTGCTGAAGGAGAGGGAGAGACTCGTGAGCGAGATAGAGACTATGAAGCAGCGTCTAAAGAACATGTCCGCTTACACGGAAGACCTCGAAAAAAGAAACAGCGAGATCGATCAACGTATGAGCGAGATGCAGGAGACACTCGGCATGCAGCTGAACGAGATCTCACGTGAGAAGAGGATTCGGGAAAGAGCGGAGACGGAGACGCGGCAGCTTGAAGAAGAGATTGCCGCAAAAAAGAGCGAACTCGAGGTGAAGCATTCGCGAGAAAGATTATATAAATTATATATATAATTTAGGTTTTAAATTAAAATGTAATTATTAATTATAATTTATTGTGTTAGGTTGGATATATATAATCTCCAGATGTATATAAATTTTTTAACATCCCTCTCCTCTCCTCTCAATAACGTTAAATTTTGAGATCATTCAAGAGATTATAGTCATTTAGAATCATTAATAGAATCAAATTATTTAAAAAGTTAAAAATGAATATTTATTATCTATGTTATAAAAATGATTTACAAATCAACTTCATATTTATTCCATTAATTTGAAAATCGTGATTACTATCGTGGAGATGCTAAGAAACGAATTAATATAGGTCGCGAACGCATCTATCGAGGCCAATGCGAGCAACATAGCAAGGCTAGAGAATCTGGTGAAAGAGCAGAAGTCGGCGAGCGAGAAGATGCAAAAGGAGATTGGCAAGCTCATGTTGAAGAGGATGAATCTGCAAACGGATCTCGATAACGCGAATGTCGAAATGGAAAAGCTGGAGAAGGAAGTCGCCGATAAAGACAAGGAATTAAAAAACGTCAAGCACGAGCTCAACAGGTAATGGACTGTAATTAGTAAGTAATCCTCCGAAGGATAAAAATTCTCTCTTTACGCGATCGAACGTTGCGACGTACGAGGAATGCTTTAGAGCGAAAGAGAGCAGCGCCAAGTACATGCACGAGAAGGATTTGACGAGCAAACGACTGCTAAAGACCGGGACCGAGCGAGCCAAGCTGGAGAACGAGCTGAAGCAGGCCCTGATCGACATCCAGAACACGGAGCACGAGGCGCAGACCTGTCGCAAGGAGCAGTTGGACGATAAGCAACGCGTCGAGATTCTGCTACGGGAGAAGAACATGATCGCCCGCAGCAGGGAAACCGCTCAGGAGCGAATCAAAAGGTTAAATCACGAGCTAGTGCTGTGCGGACACGCCAAGACAAAGGTCGAGCACGAGCTAGATACGCTGACACAGAGCATCGACGACGTGAGGAGGCAGATGGAGATGGCGGAGAAGGAACGGGATAAGTACAGTCAGGCGCTACAGGGATTGAAGCAGCAGGTGAGAAGGATATATTAAAGGGTATATTATAGGTTTTTCGCGCGAGGAGCCGGAGATAATAGCGTATCCGCGAAAAAGAAGCGGGGAAAATCGTCGTTAATCCCGGAAATCGTATAATAAAAGCACCGACGGAGAGAAAATCCTGCAAATTACGAAAGAGAGATTATATTTGTTCTCTGCTTAAGTATTATATTATCGTTGTCAAAATTATTGCGGTAAAATCGTAGTAAATGCAAATATGTTTTT